AGATGTGAAATTTGAGATATGTGTTGGGATGAGTAATGTAATTCATTTTCAAATAGCTATAAGAATTGTAAAATTTCAGTTAAGGAATTAGTGATTTCTCTTATGTTAAGAGTGTTGTAAGGATAACAATCAGCTTCCTCTTTATGAAAATTTTTGGTCTAAATTAGTTTAATTACCTTTTGTATTTCCTCTTAGGGAGAGTTAGAACACAGATCTTGATCCCTACTCTGTGAATTAGGAGCGAAATTGTAAACCATTTGCTTGTGCCAAGGGTTCAGACACGTTTCTTATTTACAGAGTTGCGTCTACAAATTTTGGTGAATATTCTATCATTTTCATTTATATAGGAATTATGATTTTGTCCTTATCTGAACTTTAAAATATCTTATAACACCTATATATTATTTATCATATATGGTCGAGATTTTTTTTTCTTTCTATCTTATTTTATTAACCACCGATCATAATGCCAGAGACAAGGAGAAGACTGAAGGTCCAAAAAAAACATATACCTGTAAAAGGATTGGTGGCAAACACAACTTTTGAAGAAAATAATGCAATATGTTAAATTTGATCAGGTAACTTTAATTTGTTGTTACTTGTAAATTTCTCCCACTAAATTTTTATCCTATAACTTCTAGTCCAAGTTTAAGTGGAAAGCGTGTTCAAGAAATTTTAATTTGTTGTTATTTTTATTAAAAATATTACAGTAATCTATGATACCTACTATTTTGGCATTTTTACATTTCATTTGTTTTTTTTTATTTTATTTTGCAGGTGAATTATCCTCGCAGCTAATGAATTAGAATTTACTAATATCCTTTGTTATGCGGTAATTTACAATAGCTCGGAGTAGGCAGTAGCCTGGACTAAGTTGTAGCCCGGCATAACTTGTGAAGCAACGATCAGAGTAAGGCGAACTGTAAACCCCGCGTTATTATTTCAATGCCCTAAGGTATGAAATTTACTTTTTCAAGGAATTTTCTTTTTTTGAATAGAAGGGTAAAATGATCAATTTGCATGTATTTCGAGAGGTGGCCATTATAAAGTGTAAGGAGTGATGTCATTGAAGAGAAATGAAGGTAGAGTTTTGTATAGAGTTGGCTCCTGGTACAGCACCAATATCTAAGGCCTTGTATAGAATGGCTCCAGTAGAGTTACAAGAGTTAAAGAAGCAGCTTCAGGAGTTGTTGGATAAAGGTTTCATTCAACCCAGTCATTCTCCATGGGGAGCCCCTATTTTATTTGTCAAGAAAAAAGATGGTTCGATGAGAATGTGTATCGATTATAGGGAGCTTAATAAGATCATGGTGAAAAACAAGTATCCATTGCCAAGAATTGATGACTTGTTTGATCAGTTAAAGGAAGCTTAGGTGTTTTCTAAGATTGATCTTCGGTTAGGCTACCATCAAATGAGGGTCGCTGATTTTAAAATAAATTTCTTTCCTAGGCGTGCTTTTCTAGATTCTCAATGGCCAAGGGATACTTAGAAAATATTTGATTAGGGAGGGGTTTTACACGAACTACGATTGAGTTAAAACAAACTACGACCAGAATGAAATGAGTTGATCAACAGTTGACTTCTAGGTCGCGGATAAGCCTTATCTCTTAAAGGCAAGCATTATCAACTAAAAATTAGGAGAAAATCTCGGCATTACATCAAGTAATTTTGGTTTAATTGTAACGCCTATAATCATGGGATTAACCTCCCTAAAATTAGACCATTTATTCCTAATTAAACTCTTGTAACCGTTGTCAATCATGTACTATATAAACCACCTCCAAATTGTGGTAAAGGGGTAATTCAGAGAGAAACTATTATTTTTGTACTCAATACTTCAATAAGAGAATAGTAGACGTAGACTTGAGAGTTAACTTGCAGAACCATTTTAAAAATATTTTTTGCATTATTGTTTTTAGTTATTTTTTGCTAATTTTAATTAATCATGCGCCCATTAGTTCGATTCTGTCGAGGTCAATCAGATCATTCTAGTTGTGCGAGATTTTGTAACAATATTTTAGCGCTAAAAAGAGGGCCTCTCCTTGGCAATCTTAGTTGTTGCAACCACCACAGCTACCGCTCCACAGCGATGGTACGCACCAGAGCGTCCAAAAGTATCATTGGAGCGCCAATCAGACCAGTGATAATGAAATTGGCCATCAGGAGGTTGATCAGCAAGCCAAGTAAACTCGTCTGCTAGTTGTTCTGTTGGTGATTCTGTAGGAGCAGGAACATCCAATTTGGAGAATGCCCAGATGATGGACATGTTGAGGGCACTCACTAATGCGGTCCAAACCCTTCAACAAGAGGTGAAAGAAATGAAAGACAAACTGCAAGGAAACTGACCTAAGAGCCGGAAGGCTGCTTCCCTGAGAGTTCCAAGCTAGGAACTTGGGACTATCAATGACGATAGCTTGTTCGCCAAGCACTAATCGTCAACCGAGCACCACCATAGGTGACGAAAGGCAGAAAGTACCTGTATGGACGAGGTGCAAAACCCAGTCAACATGAGTAGGCACTTAGGTAAACAACCAAATGGCGAAGGGGAAGATCGCCAAGAGCAAGTTTGCCCAGAGCAAGCAGATGAACAAGCCTAACATGCCGGCTTACACCCACACCATAAGCAAAATACTTTTCCACAAATAAATGAGGTTAATTCTTCATGTCAGCCCGACGTCAAAATTGACATGCCGGTATGCACCCATGTTGAGTAAGAGAGAGCCAAGAGTCTACCTCGAATCTTACATATTATCCGAGTAACTATAGCTCATCCTGACATGCCAACGTGCTTGGGAAAAATGAACAAAGAGGACAAGCATCAGATCTCCACACTTATTTGGATTCGCAGAGAACAACCGACCTTGGGACCCATCTTAATGCACAAAGGTCAAACCTGGGCTTAGTGAGAAATCCCTAGTTGAATGATTAGTTGGATTAGGTGAGAACATACTTGACGACCTTAGAGCTCATCAAGATGATCAAGTCAAGGGAGTTGTTAACTCCCCGTTTTCAAAAAAGGTGCATCAAGCACCTTTGCCGCAAGGTTTCAAAGTACCAGACATCAAGTTCAATGGAAGAGGTGATCTACGAGATCATCTGGATGCTTTTAATGACCTGGTGGAATTACATCAGGTCTCAAACCTTGCTAAATGTCGCTGCTTCGTCTTGACTCTAGTCGATGATGCGAATAGATGGTACAACATGCTTTAGATATGCTCTGTTCACTCTTGGCAACAACTCGCCGCACTTTATCTTCAACAATTCCTAGTGAGGAGAAAGTTCTTAATGCTCTAAAGCTACCTCAACAACATTAGGCAGGAAAAGGATAAGACTTCGACCTCGTACTTAACAAGGTTCCAAATGGAGCATAGTAAAGTAGCAGATGCGTCGGAAGAGTCAAAACTCTACTTATTGCCGGGGTAAGAACCTAAACATAGCTTTGGAAAGACTTGCAAGCTGAAGATCATGTGAGTCTAGCCCAATTCCTCCAGATGGTGTAGCCACGTTAAATGCTGGAGCTCCAACTAGCATCCCTGTTCGTGATTTTGATCGAATGGGAGAAAAGAAAATAGATAACCAGGATTGAGGAAATGGGGACAGACACCGTTTCCAAAAGAAACAACGAATAGAATCGAGGAGAGATCGTGAGCCACTATCTTGTTTCGACAGCTATACTCCACTGGTCCTCCCCTCCCACTCCCCCCTCCCCACCATCCACCCAACCCACCCCCACTTTTTCAAGAATTCCTCGCAGTATCAAGCGAGGTGAAGCAGTTACCTCGTCCTGGAAACTAAGAGGGCAACGGAGCAGAAGAGACCTTTCAGAATCAGTCCGACCAACCAATCCGGTCTTGTTTTCATAACCTTGATTATAATCCTTGAGTAAATGAAATGGCTATAGTGCAAGAATATTCTAAAGCTTTCACCACTGGATTTAGCGCCATGTAATATAATTTCCCTTAAAAGTTTCATTAGCTTTTACTTTAAATTAATTTTATTATCTAATAAACATTATTATATTTAATAAATAAAATATATATATAATCCTGGGGCATAGACTATATGCTTGTCATTTTAAAAAGTAGAATTCCTTCATTTTGCCATGTAGGCAAATTGTCCTATACTTGGCTGTATTTGATTTGTGCTGATGTGGATTATTGACATTTGATTAGATGTTATTGGTCATGATGTAGCATATATTAATGAGTTGGATTTGATAGTATATGTGGCTTATTGTAATTGATGTTTGATATTGTTTGTTATTAATGATAAATATTAATAACCTTATTAATTGTTATGTGAATTTAAGAGGTTTGTAAATACAAAGAATTTGATAAGTTTAGGATGTCCCACATTAAAATTCATATATAGGGATATTAAAAACATAAAACCTTGATTACTGTTCAATTAATAATTTTAAAAGGATACACTATGCTTATGATTTTGGCCCCATTCAACAAACCATAAATCCATTGATTTATTATCTAATTTACAAGGAAGATGTATGAAGTATATGTAGGGTGTTAAATGGACTTCAAATATTAGTTAAAGTGTATGTAAGTTAATACTTGCCATAAAAAAATCATTACTAAGCCATTAGTATTTATAGATTTTTTATTTTTTTTGTTATTGAATTAAACTTTAGGGTATTATTGTTATTAACTTCAACTATTTTTCAGAATTAATAACCCCTGAGATTTGATTAAATAACAAACATTCTTTTGTGGTTTTTGAAATAATAGAAATCTCTTTCAATTAAGTTTTAAGTATTAAAATAAATATTAAGAGGGTATTCGGAAAATATTCATAAATAAGCTCATGATGTCTATGCTCCAACGAATTTTTTATGTTTTACTAGCAATAAGGGAATTTGTGTTATTTAAAAAACCATAGGAGGATTTGTGTTGTTGTATCGAACCTTAGGGGGTCTATTGTATTGACTCTATTTTTTATACAACGAAACCACTCCTAACTTTATAAACAACGATGGAATGATAAGCCATAACTAACACCGGCCATGTTCCCAAAACGACACCGATTCTTAATCATAATTACAACCCAACCAACCGCTCCTCCTACCTAGAGGTCTTTTTCATCTTCTCACACAGATTGTGATGTAAAAGCAAACCTGTCTCTCATTTCTCACCTTTCTTCAGCCATCAGAAACCCTAAATTCTGATTTCATTAATTCATTTTCATCCATTTCTTCTCATTGGATTCGGCCATGGCGTGCCATTTCTCGATTCTTTTTTTCTTGTTCCTGATCGCTCTCTCATTCGCCATCGCCGATGACGTTTCACTAGACGATGATGATTCGTCTCCTAAAACTCCTGGCTGTAGTAATAAATTTCAATTGGTAATCTTGATGTTCTTAATTATGATTTAATTTATCACATTCTTTATTTTGATTCGTTAAATTAGGTATCACCAGTTATAGCTTCTAAACCGTAACTATATAAACTGAATGGAGTTTAGAGGATATTATTTTTTAGTTTAGCTTGATTTGATTAAATATAATTATATATGTGATTTAATTGAAGATCATAGTGGCGTATTTATCTTGATTGTAGTTGCAACAAATTGTTGAAGAAATTGAGTTGTGACGAGTTAAAATGTGAGGACAAACTGAAGATAGAGCAGTTTTGTTGTTTGCTTTTTTTGTGATTATAAATGAGGTGTAATGTGTGAAAATTGTGTTGCACTAAAATCTGAAGAGCCATGCGTCGGTAATAGAAGATATCATGCATATAGACTGCCTATAAATTAGGGAGAAATAAGAAGTTCATTAATTAACTGCAAGTATGGCCAGATGTTCTTGCAAGAGTGGGAGATCGAGTATGTGCGTGTGGGAACTATGGTTGAGTTTATTGCACCTACTTATGGATGTTTCATTGTTGCATGCTGGAAGCAAGTTGAGTTATTTGTAGCAAAACGTTGTGTTTGTCTGAGATCAAAATAACATTGTGTACAGTATGTGATGTTGCAGAGATAATTGTTATTTGTGTAACTTCTAAACTTTTAGTTAACGTTGCATAGTTCTTTTTCAATGGTTACTTTTTTGGTATAAGAATACCTGCTATGTGTAATTTCTTTTTCCAGGTCAAGGTCAAGAACTGGGTTGATAACGTTGAAGGTGAAAGTTTTTCTGGGTTAACTGCAAGATTTGGATCGTCATTGCCGTCTGATGTTGAAAAGGGGCATAAACTTACTGCCGTTTTCGCGAATCCAGCAAACTGCTGTTTGAATTCTTCCTCAAAGGTTGTGCATTGATAGTACTTTGTTGAACTTACCAAATATACTTATTCCATTGCTATAAAACATTAGTTAGATGCCTAAGTGGCATTCAGTATTGTGTTTGGTGATTTTGGTCTAAAAAGAGAATTTGAAAAAGAAAATAAGTTTGATTTTGTGCTCTCACAATTTGAAAATGCATTATTATTTTATGGAAAACAGTATTTGAAAATGAAAACAATGAAAATGTGTTTGCTATCATTTTCTATTGATGAATATGAAATTTTTGCAGTAAAGTAAAGAATGAAAATATAGCAAACATCTGTTTTATGTTTTGTGTATGTTCAATTTTCTAGTTATACATGTGATTATCCATTTTTCCTACTTTTTTTTTTGTTGAAAAAGGGATTTGGTTACTGAACAAGTATTACGCATTTTCCAAATAAAGTAGGGCATAAATATGGATAAAATTGGAAACGAAAACAATAGTAAGCGCATCCTTATTGTTTTTCCAGAATTTGAATTTCAAATTGTTTCTATGATTTAACTTTATGAGAGATTTTATACTATGTCCTTTATTAGCTTCCCAAAGTTGTCAGATAACTTGCAAAATTATGGGAGACTTGTATCTCGATTTTTATGTTTCCGGAAATGGTAAATAAATATGTATTCCTTAAAAATCATTTGCTTAATTTGGCTTAATGAATCTAAATTTGAATTTCTACTCTGTTTTTTCTTGCTATTTTGCAGCTATCTGGTTCAGTTGCCTTGTCTATACGTGGTGATTGCTCCTTTACTACTAAAGCAGAAGTGGCACAGTCAGGAGGTGCTGCTGCTTTGGTTGTGATAAATGACAAAGAAGGTTAAAATTTTATTTATTTTATTTAACTGTGATGTTAGATAGTGTATCTTGTGAACATGATGGATGAGTTGAAAATGAATTTCTGCCCTGTTTTTTTTACCTTTCCAGATCTTTACAAGATGGTTTGTTCTGAAAATGATACTTCTCTAAATATCTCGATCCCTGTTTTGATGATTCCAAAGTCAAGAGGAGATGCTCTCAACAAATCTCTTGTGAACAAACAAAGAGGTGAGGCATTTGAGTTCTTGAAATATTGTCAAACTTTATTCCCATTTATCTTTCAAGTAAGTTCTTGTGATCTTTCTCTATTAATATATCATGCATTGTAGTTATCCGTAGCTCCTCTTTGTTTTCTATTGTCTTGTTAGTATGCAATTTATGTGCCCATCCCCTTCATTCAGTGGGTTTTCAACTCTTGGTTTTTGCTTGGATGCACATTTTGAAGTTCGAATTCATTTAATATCTTCTATATGTACAATTATTTTTGCTTTTCTTAAGAAAAAGGGATGTAACACTTTTCATGAAATCAAATGTGGGCTTTCCTGGCGATTATTTTTATTAGTGTGATGGAGAATCTAACGTCATATGAATGGAACTTTTGGAAGGAACTGTTAGTGTCAACTTCATTGTTTTGGAGATGTTTTATAGTTGAGTGTGCAGACTGTACTGTAGTCTTATTCTTGAATTGTCTTGGCCTCTACTTAACCAAAGATATCAGAGAAAAAAAAAAACCATTTCTGAGCAGTTTATGTATATATTTTACGGTAACTTAATTATGTTGTTCTTCGGGAAAATATGTAGTGAGGAGTTCTATTTACATTACTTCTTGAGATTCAGGGACTTGACACTTACCATCTTTCTTGGATTGACTCCACCTGCCCTCGCCCCTCATAAAAAAAAAAAAAAAAAAAAAAAAGAATATTTTTACACTATTAAAGGTGCTAGTGATGTTGAGGAATCTTTGTAACAAATTACTATCACATTCATTATTTTATAATGATTGTGCATATGTTTTTGTTATAAGGAGTTTGCTTTCCACCTATATTTGCTTTCGTGCCTTGTTTGAAAATATATTTAAATTCATAGGCTTATTTTTATTGGATGATTATTTATGACTGACTATATGATGTTCTAATGCAGTTGAACTGTTATTATATGCCCCAAATCGTCCAGTTATAGACTTCTCAGTAATTTTGTTGTGGATACTGGCTGTTGGAACAATTATTGTTGCTTCACTTTGGTCAGACTTTACAAATGAGCATACTGACGAACGCTATAATGAAATATCGCCAAAGGTGTACCACTCAGCCCTTTATCCCCCTTTGGTGTTCATAACTAATTTCTATGTCTGGGTGGCCTGCCTCATGCAATTATTGGCATGTTTTACAGGGAGCTTGATTGTATTCAAAACTATTTTTTCATGACAATAGCAGGTTGATTTAGTTCATCTAAAATTGTTGATTGCTGCATAGGTATTTCGTTTCAAATGTTCATGATTAGCATTGCACCTTCTGGTATTGCTTTCCCAGATATTCATAATGATGGATAATGCATATTATCTCACTGTTCATTCTTGTTTCTTGAAGTTCATGGTGATTGGTGGTCTGACTGTGCGTTTTAACTGAAGTCTGTGCCAACCTTTGACCAACATTACCTCACTGATGGGCCTTAGACTACTTAAAATTAACTATAGTCTTTTTTAATATTTAAATAACCTCTGTTATAAGTTACTGTATATAATTACATATGTATTTTTACCTTCCAAAGTAATGTTCTTTACATTGACATCACGCTTGAAAAGATTAACAGTTGGTAACCTTGTTGAGGGAAGCATATATGGTAAACTGTGTTTCATGTGCTAGTGTAATGAAGAATCACTGGCTATCTTCTGTTATGTTTATCTTGGTGGTTTTGGGTTTACTTGATTTTATGTCATGAGACTTTCATGAGTTGGTATGGATTTGATATGAAACACAAATTGGGCTGTGAGGACAGGACTTCACTTAGGAGATCTTGAATCTGCTTTTCTTCAGACTTACTTATTTGCTATAGGATCTAGCTGTAGTTTTCCTTTCCTTTCATTTTCTTGTAACCTTTATTACAAATATTTATTAATTTTTATGTTTTGGATTCTCCTTCCAGTCCCTTTCCTTGTTCACGTCTGGCCTTTATTATATGTTTCTTGTGTACCTGAGTTAATTCCCCTGGCTGTTCCGTTATTGGTTTTATCCATCAAAAACATTAGTGATGAACCTATTATGATACTAATAATTTAGTTAAATAATTTGCAAGTACTTTTTGATTGCCATTATAGCATATTTCTAAATTTACATTTTAGTAGAAGATGTTAAATACATTTGTGATTAGTCTGGAGCAGCATCTGAAGCATGTTTCATATACTGTTAGTTGATTCTATGTTGTTTACATGAAGTTTATGACATTTTGAAGATTATGGTTATTTTAGGGCAGACTTATTAGCTCTGAGTTGCCCAAAAAGTTAATGTCTGGTTTCAGTGGAAGAACCCTTTTGATATTGAGGTTTGTCTTTCTTAGGCAAGCAGTCAAAGTTTTCCTCCTCCCCCTGCCCCCCACTTCCCAGACTGACTTATGTTACCACGCTTCCTGAATTTATTCTAGGCCTAGGCCTGATATAAATGGTAATACTGCATTCTATTTTTTTCAAACTAGCAATTTGGTTGACCTTGCTGTAAGCCATCTGTCTTTTAGTTGTAAGCGCAAATGTGCATATAGAATTATGGTTTCCATTTCTGACTTTTGTTAGATATGGATTAATGCGTATAATCTGAATAACTTCCCATTTTCAATCTACTTGTCAATTTGAGATTCTTTTGTCTTTTCTTGGGTGTCTGTTATGATAATTCACCTTTCATGTTTATTATTGTTTCTTATTTTATTTAATTTTTTTTTTATATTTTGATTCCTGAATCATTGTAAAAACATTTTCCAGTAATGAGGGTTGTGTGACTTAAGGTGTCATTTCTTTCATTGTTTAGGAATCTCCAACCGTTCCATCAGACAGAGATGATTCTGAGAAGGAAGTCCTTGATATCAGTGCAAAGGGTGCTATATTTTTTATCATAACAGCATCCACTTTCCTGGTTCTACTTTACTTTTTCATGTCATCTTGGTTTGTCTGGCTGCTAATTGTGCTCTTCTGCATTGGCGGTGTTGAGGTAATGCTTTTTTGTTCCCCCCATAATGCTCTATTCAATTTTTTGTTACTTGAATGAAATAATGTTTGCACAGTAGTTTCATCGAAACATTATTAAATGGGTGATATCATTTTTAGTAAAGCATACCAAATGTGACTGGTGGATTGATGTTTATGGACCATGATAAAAGTCCATCAATTTGCTCATTTAGTTACTAGTTTGTGGAATAACTTATTCAAATAAGAGTAGGATAATTTGAATGTCGCTGGTATACTTGTCATGGCTCACTACCTTGATCCTTATGTTGTGTGGATATTTCTTTTAATTTTAACATCGCTTTTTTATGATATCATCTCCAACAATAATTGGTAGTCTGGTGTTGTGATGAGATGTGAGTATAAAGTTAGCTCAGGTTTTTGTCTCTTTTTTTGGGGAACCAAATATATTTGAAGGGTTTGGTTCTCAGCTTGAGTTGTTTATTGGCTTAAGTTGACCTGGAGGTTAACTTATGATTTTGAAACTGCAGGCAGGTATAATTTTACTGTTAACTTTTTTTTTTTCCTTCCTTTTTTTATTGATATGATTTCTCATTTTCGAAGTTGCCTTGAAGCTGGGTGGATTCAGTATATGTGAGTTATTGTTAGTTCTTGTCAATGGAAAATGGATTGGATAAAACTTCTAGTTTATCATACAATGGTGGTGGAAACTGAGGTTTGTCATTAGTCGTGTTCGGCAGGGTATGGGTTGGGCACCAAGTGTTTGGGAGCCCTTTAGTCTTTTTAAATGTAAATTTGGGATGCAATTTTCTTTTCAAGTGAATAAGAATGATTTTCTGTGCCCAATTCATTCCGGCATTCATATACAAATTGAATTTCCTTATTCTATTTCATTTGGTGGTAATATTCTGTAACAATGAATGTGTCGTGCTCATCAAGTAGTTTTTGTTTTCAGGGAATGCATAATTGTATAGTAACCCTAGTGTTGAGGTATGTGCAATCTTCTTCTTCTTGCTTTCATATCTATCAAGTTGTTGGTTATATTAGTAGTTCTGGGGTTTCATTGCCAATTTTTAATAAGGAAAACATGTTTCTTGTCATTCCTTGTTTATATACACATTTCATTGCTATGCAGGAAATGTAGAAATTGCGGTCGGAAGATGGTGAATTTGCCTCTGTTTGATGAGGTTTCTATTCTATCACTTGTGGTCTTAATGTTCTGCGTGGCATTTGCTGTTGTCTGGGCTGTACATAGGCAGGCCTCATATTCGTGGGCTGGCCAAGATATTCTTGTAAGTCTCAATTATGTGCTAGGTCCATTATTTTATTTTATTTTATTTCTATACGAATACTATGTGATAGCCTTATCTGCTGTCTTTGACTGTGAGATCTCTCGTCCTCTTCACTTCTGTATTGTTGCCTGCCAATATTGATTCTAGTCCAGAGGATTAAATGAGTTCTTTTGACTTAATTGGCCCGTGTGAAATCTATGACTATACATTATATTCTCCTAGTGTTTCTAATTTTCATATTTTCCTTCTGTAAACCTAGTTTTGGTGGATTTGCTCCCGTATCAGATAAGGCAGTTTACTTTTGGTTAATTTTTTAGGTGTCAGTAACGGCAGAAGCCATTCTGTGGTCTTTAACATGAAAAAATAATTTTTTCTCCTATTTGCTGGAATCTTTCCTCTTTTTATTCCAATATATGTGGTTGGATTGGAAAATAACATCTTATATAATATCTTTGCACTCATGAACTAATGCTAATGATGCCTATTATGCTTTGAAATTGAAAAGGGTTCCCATTATGTTTGTTAATCTGTCAGTCAAATGGTTGGGTGGCAGTCATAGTCATTGTTATGTTGGAGGTGAATGTAAGTCCATTTATTTAAGCATTACTGATAGTTGATTCTGCGAGGAGTTGTTTCTTGGAATGAAAGACTTACGATAGATTCATTATATTGTGGGGTTCCTTTTTCTTGTCCTTTTTCTTATTACTTTTTGATTTTCTTAAACATTCATCAATTTTTTTTCTTTATTTTTGGAGCAATTGTTTACCATTTTTATAGAAAAGAAATGAAAAACCCTGGAAGTCAAAAGAAATGATGTATTGTCAATATATATATATCAAATTAGGGAGACTTATTACATTTTAATAATGCCAAAGAAAGGATCATAAAACTTATATCATTTTAGACAAATTATTAATAGACAGTAGTTACCTTATGTAGGTTTTATTTTACATTACTACTATTTACTTGAGGCTTTATTATGCTTTCTATTAGCTGTCTTATGGCTTCCAGAACTGAATGGAATATACTTCCACTTTCCTCCATTCTTTTTACCTGAAAATAATATTTCTGTTGGCAGGGTATCTGTTTGATGATAACAGTTTTGCAGATTGCACGATTACCTAATATCAAGGTATGCTTGTTTAGTTTGTTCTAAATTGAGGACTCATATCCTGCACCTGTGCCCTGATTGTATTATCATAACTCAGGTTGCTTCTGTACTTCTTTGCTGTGCGTTTGTTTACGACATCTTTTGGGTCTTCATATCACCGTTAATATTTCACGAAAGTGTTATGATTGCGGTAAGTTGTATTATTCCTTTTTTGTGTAAAATTGTTTGATGAATTTGGATATTATGATAGATGGGTAGATCTATTTTTTTTTTAATATAAAAAAGCCTCAAAATATTTCTTGGTTGATTTATGTTTTTAAACAACCTTTCTTATATAGGTTGCTCGGGGTGACAACAGTGGTGGAGAATCCATTCCCATGCTTTTGAGAGTACCTCGACTATTTGACCCTTGGGGTGGCTATGATATGATTGGATTTGGGGACATTCTGTTCCCTGGTTTGCTAATTTCTTTCGCATACAGGTATTTTATATACTGTATACACTAATTATCAGATTGAGCATGTATTCCGCATAGTGTAGAATTTTTGGAGCTTTGGAAGCTCCATGATATGGTTTTGGAAGCTCCATGATATGTTTTACTTTAGCCAGAAAGAAAGAGGCATTAAAAACCCTGTGAATTTTTAGCATACAGCTCTGATTGCAATTTGTGTATATTGCAACAGACATGAAAATCAAGCAAACATGCACATATTATACAATTAGAGGGTAGATAAATAAAGACAGAAAGATAAAGCAGGAACTATGAAAAAAAAAAAAAAAAAAAAAAAAACACTAGGGAGCTTCCTATACAGGGCAACTTGTATAGCACGAACACAAAGCAATTTTTAATGCTTTGAAAAGTGATTTGTTAGTTGGAGAGAGAATGATGATAAATTCAGGTATAGGAAAGATGGATGGTACTTGGTATTCCACAATTGCAAAGTGGATGATATATTTTGAGCTGTGTGTATACTTAGTTGATTGACATAAAGCAATTACAGTATTATTGCATGCTTAAAAGTATAAGTTAAACTAATTCCTTAATAGTATATCTATGCTGTAACGTACAAATTCTATTTTCTATCTTCTTTGTGCTAGATTATTTAAATAAAAACTAATCAGATGTTGAAGGTGCATATATGTTGTTAAGAAAGTTTGTTTTCCTTGAAATTTACTCATAATTGCAGAATTTTAAATTGTTACTGTGTGCGGATTTAAACTTGTAAAGTTAGGTTGTTATAAGTTACCAAACAAAAGTTTAGAAAGTGGCTGAGTATGGTATAAAGTCAGTATTCAAATGTTTTCCCGGTCATAGATGGTCACCACTTGAGTGCTAGGCACAAATGATGGAATTTGACTTTATAATATGTTTCGGTTTTGTTGCCTGAGTTTTTGAATTTGTGATTAGGCTTGTATTGGAAGGATTTTGCCTTGTTTTTAACTAGGTGCTTTTTGGTATCTTATTTTTTGTTGGGTTCTCTCAGATATGACAAGACGAACAAGAAGGGTGTATTAAAAGGATATTTTCTTTGGTTGACAATTGGCTATGGATTCGGTGAGTATCTTTGTATATTATCTTTTTTTTTTTTTTCCTGTTATTTTTGTTTTTTTTACGGTCGGGTTGTTGGGTCCCGTAACTGAGGAATAATGTCATAGAGTTGAGGATAGTTTGAGTTTTTGTTTTCTGGGTTGAGGTGAGGGAATCTGTTGAGAGTAAAGTTGATGAACTTGGCTCGGTCTAAAAGGAATGGATATCAGTTGAGTGGATGTGAATTGTGGAGATGTGTTGGTTTTGTTGGTGTTGCGGTGTCTTATGAGAAGAGAAACAAAAGTCACTATGGTGATGAACAGGTAGTAGAATGGTAAGAGAAGAAAAGAAAGAGGGGAGTTAGGAGAGAGAGAGATCAACTCTTAAGAGAGCTCCCCTTTTTTTTTTAACGCTTACTAAATTCCAGTACTAAATTGCTAAACACTAAGCTTGAGCAGATGAAATTAATGTATTCTATCTCTGATGGCAGGAAAGTCCATTTTAATTTTGTAAACTTAGGTCTGAGTGTGACAAGAAGCATCACATTTGATTAATACTTTCACTTCATTCATTTACATGTGACAAGTATTAGAATCATTAGATGTCTCTCAATGTCTGCATCAACTTTCAGAATGGACAATTGGAGGGGCAAAAACCTTGCACCGTATTCTTATTATTCTGACAATATCTGTATTTTGAACTTTGACAAAATGTTCCTTCTTTCCGTCTTAACACTTCTCTACCATTTTAAAATTTCTCCCTGTCATACTTCTCTGTGGAAAATGGATGCCTAGGCTTTTGTTTCTTATTGCAGTAGTTTTATGGACAAACAGTAACTATAATCCAGGGTAGCTTTACCCTTTGATATCTGCCTATCTCTCAAAATCTTATAACGGTTTTGCCCCATCTGTGGCAACCTCGAAAAAAGGAAAAGAAAAACATCTATTACATGGCCCTCTAAATCTAAATTTGCTTTTCTTTCTGCCTCTACTTTTATGCCTGCTACCATATGTTGTTGGCTCCGTCTTACCTGCAATATATGCAAATACTATATCAATTCATCTTCGTGCCTTGTTGATATTGATGGAGATATTTCCCACTGCAGGTCTCTTCCTTACATACCTAGGTTTATATCTAATGGATGGGCATGGTCAACCGGCACTCCTCTATCTCGTTCCTTGTACACTAGGTAATGATTTGTATTATTCTCACGTGGACAGGTGGCATCATCTGATTTGCTAAGTAGACAGATATCATGTATGCTTACCTTCGTTTTTTGAGTTTACCTTCTGTTTTCTAAAGTCAACGCTCTGCCTCTTTTTTAACATTATCAGGGCTCATTGTTTTATTGGGTCTGGTGAGAGGGGAGTTGAAAGATCTCTGGAACTATGGTGCAGAACCATCCTCCGATCCAATTACTCCTCCAGAAGCTTGAACGACTACTGTTGCATGTCTCAAAAGATGGCTGCACTGATCTATAGAAGAAGCTTAAGGTTTGATGCGGCTAGCTGGGTCGACCTTCTTCTTGTAAGGTATTTTGGGTCAATATGGCACGAAGAATACAGTGGTAAAAAAAGTGGGGGGGATGTACAATCAAAGCCAAGTCAGCTGTAGAATATGATTATATTTTATCATGTATATGGCCTTTGTATGTATTGAATGTAGTTCATTTCTCATTTCTACATTGTTAATGTTATAGCATAACTTACCCAATCGATTTCCTTGTTTATCAATGTTGGCGAAGCTGCATCATTCAATATTCTTGGTGTATGCATTCTCGATACCCATCTATTTTGTATAATGTATCGGTGTGAAATGAAATTCATCGAAAAGTTTCACCATACTGTTTCTCGTTAAAGTCAAAATTAATAGGTGTTTGCTCTATTTGTTTGTGTGCATGAAGAAGACTACAGAAAGATGGACTGAGCTTCATGGCATACCACGCAACAAATAATTAATATACTATATTTTTAGGAGTTACCTAAATAGCAGAAAATATACTTTATTAGTAGGAGTTATTTAAATTGCACAAATATATGTATGGTAAATAATCAACTAATAAATTGTATAAAATTTTCTTTATTTAATGACTTTAAGAAAAGTAGAATTTCTCTTTCCGGCTAAAATTGGGGCCGTTCGTTTCCGGTTTTGTCTTTTTGAACCCAAAATTTTCATTCTTGCTTTTGGGAAAATGTGGGGGACTTGTGCACTTTGCAAAATTGGTTTCAGAATGCAAAAACGGAGAAAATAAGGTGAATGATATATAAGGAAAATTGGAGCAAAACAGAAAACAATGTAAAAGGTGTTTTACGCATATTTAAATTAAACCCTGTGTCAGAGTGCAGGCTGAAGGAGTCAGAAATTTTCAAATTTAGTGTACCATTTTTCTTCTTGTTCCAATATTTGCAAGCTTATCTCTTCCATTTTTATTTTTTATTTTTCTCAAAAGTTGTTACTTTTCTTTTCAATCCTATTTTTATTTATTTATTTTTCTTCATAAAATGGAGCTTTTTAAAAAAAAAATTATGTTTAATGTTATGTAATTTACAAATTTTTAATTTTGATTATAAGATTTGTTTTGTTCTATTTCTTAATTATATATAAGTGTAAAACTTTTGAACTTACAGTTCAATAGTCTTATATGACCGGGAAAGATCAACTTTCAGTTAGATTATTATAACTCAACGCTTGCCTACCGGTACAGTTGCCCTCTACAAGATCGCCTCTGCCTACTCTAATCCCACATCTAGTAAGTCTGTCACAAGTGAGCACCTTAGCCTTCAGAGCCAGCCACAAGAAGGCAGCAACCTTCGAAATGACACCCGCTTGCCAAACTGGGAAAGACCAACAATTCTCAGATGCAATCATCTCATACCCCGACAACATAGTATATGACCCCCAGGGAAAAATCTTCCATGGGCAAGTCTATCGGTTCAGGAAGTGGGAGAGTACCGTTCATTTACTTTTCAAGATTATAAATTAATTGTGTCAAGATTAAAAGTGAATTTTTTTTTATTTATTTCTTTTAATTAACATTATGTGTAATTTTTTATTATTTAAAAAATGAAAAATGTCAATTACCTTTTATTTTTTACACATATAAAAGTTATCACTTGTCATAAATGTGTTTTTACATTATTACTAGTGAACACATATTTTCTATTTTCATTTTTAATACTATTAGAAAACAATAATGAACGCATTTTCAAATTCTAAAAGTACAAAATTAAACTTCTTATTTTTATTTTCGAATTCATTTTTGTAAATAATAACGTTGAAAACGTAAATGAACGGCACCTAAAATTCTAGTTGCTGAATATGTAAAGAGTAATGCTACTTGAACAAGTGTACTGATTAGACCTCTTACAATAGTTCACATATATGAAGATTTTATATAAGTTTTAAGATTTCTGCATATCTCCGGCATATATGATCCTGGGTTCCCTCTGCTATCAGAGCCAAGGAGAAGGCTGGGATTTAGGATAGTTAAAATTTTGTTTATTAATTATTTTGAGTACGAGTCCTTTTGGGTTGTGTAGCGCTGTAGGATGTAACTGTTGTAAGTCCCTTAGATCAACCACTGCAGGGAAAGAAATATGTGACAAAAAAATAGAAAACTTTTTTAGATCAATGTCTACTTCCAATTTGAATACTAGAGATGAACAAATTGTTTATCAAGAAGAGATTTGTATAAATCAAAATAACAACATAATTGAAACAAGTTAAGCTTGTGCATAAAAAGATAAACAGGTCATAAGACCTCAAGATTTTTAAAAACATTTTGGCTCCGTTTGGTTCACAATTGGGTGTTTTTGGGAAAAGTTTTTTGAAAAAAGTAAAAAAAAAAGTTGAATTGGGCGGGTATTACGATGTAGGATTTATAAATTAATAAAATACCCCCTATATTTGTTTCTTTACAAAACACCCCCTATAATAAAATCTTAAAAGTTAACAAAAACACCCCCAACCCAATGTCAAATACGGACAGCCGGCCACTACCGCNAATTACCTTTTATTTTTTACACATATAAAAGTTATCACTTGTCATAAATGTGTTTTTACATTATTACTAGTGAACACATATTTTCTATTTTCATTTTTAATACTATTAGAAAACAATAATGAACGCATTTTCAAATTCTAAAAGTACAAAATTAAATTTCTTATTTTTATTTTCGAATTCATTTTTGTAAATAATAACGTTGAAAACGTAAATGAACGGCAACTAAAATTCTAGTTGCTGAATATGTAAAGAATAATACTACTTGAACAGGTATACTGATTAGACCTCTTACAATAGTTGCAGTTCATAGTTCACATATATGAAGATTTTATATAAGTTTTAAGATTTCTGCATATCTCCTCCGGCATATATGATCCCGGGTTCCCTCTGTTATCAGAGCCAAGGAGGAGGCTGAGATTTAGGATTGTTAAAATTTTGTTTATTAATTATTTTGAGTACCGAGTCCTTTTGGGTTGTGTAGGGTTGTAGGATGTAACCGTTGTAAGTCCCTTAGATCAACCACTGTAAGGAAAGAAATAGGTGATTAAAAAATGAAAAACTTTTCTAGATCAATGTCTACTTCCAGTTTGAATACTAGAGATGAACAAATTGTTCATCAAGAAGATATTTGTATAAATCAAAATAACAACATAATTGAAACAAGTTAAGCTTGTGCACAAAAAGATAAACAGATCATAAGACCTCAAGATTTTTAAAAACATTTTGATAAATGAAACATTCCCAAAATTTCTATAACAGATGTTTACAAAGAAGGAAAATTATCAAGTCTCAATAGAGTAAACCCTTTAAACAAATCAAAATACATAATTAAAACAGAAACAAAGACCCTTAAGGTAAACAATTCAACTCAAATAACTAGGTTATTATCTAATGAAATGGTTGAAAAATACAAAAAAAAAATTATAATTATCTTCATATAGGATTAGTCCAAATAGGAATCAAACCTTTTAGCATTGAAGGCATGGACACTGCCATCTTTGCTTGTTTAAGAGATTCTCTGTTAGGAACAATAGAATCCAGCTTGTCCAATGGACCAATTTATTTCACTTGTTATCCTGATTTCACAGTTTGTTTAGATGACCATAATATGCTAGATGTTTTAACTTTGAATATTACAACATTTGGTTATGAATTAAAACGAGGAACCATTCCTATAGCAGCCATTTATAGGATCCAATACAAAGTAATGCAATATGCTTTTGAAACTAGAGCCATTAATCATGACCAAAAAGGTCACACAGTGTTGTTTCAAACAGATTTAACAAGATCAAACATAACAGTTCCCAAAACAATAAGTTGGGATCAAATTACTTTACCAGAAGATTGGGGATTAGCAAATGCAGTCATACCTTAAAAATGAGAATTCCCAAACCTTTAACCTGACCAATCCAAAATACAAAGATTGAAAATATAACTGAAAATTTTGATGGAAGTGTTCAGATTAGGTTTAATAGGCCTCCAAGAATAAGTTTTGATGACTCACACTTACCCTCATCCAGATTGAATCCCAAAGAACCTCTTAAACAAAGAAGATTTTCTTGTTTAGCAAGAGACCCCCCCTAGGACTACCCAAGTGAAAACAAATATTCAAGGAATAGATAATTCCTCAACAATACCTCAATCTTATTATTCAGTTCAAACACCTTCTCAACAAGATAGGGAAGAGACATCACAAAGAATGTCTCCGACCTATTCCCAAATGACAGATTTGCCAGAATTAAACATGATTGAAAAATTTGTAATAGATAAAATCTTCTTAAGAAAGGATTCTTATTCGAAAGAAAATAAAAAAATTAAGGGAAAATTTCTTTAAAACCTTTAATATAAAAGAAATGAATATAATCCAACAAACTTATAATTACAACTTTTTGAAAGCACACCAAATTTTATACCTTTCTTTCAATGGTTTGACAGTGAAAAAACAATCAATGTTCAAACAAAAGCAAAATAATGGAAAATCACAAAGGAAAAGATATTGAAGAAATAGAATCAATTCATCCACCTTTAGCAAAAGTAACGATTCCCTATAAAGGAGTAGAAATTAAGGCTTCACATTTTAAGGTTAAAGAATATTTAAGTGAAACGTCAGGAAATGATATCAAAAATATCTACCAACAAAATAATTATGCAAACCAATGCTTGAATAGTATTGGCGAACAATTGAGTAGAATTGAGGATATTATAAGAAAACCAATCCTAAAACCTATTGACATAAAGTCAAAACCATTAAAAATTGTTGATAATAAACCTTTGTTCGTTCCACACTAGATCCCTCCAAAACGCGTTAAAACTTTAACGAACAAAGAAGAATTTATGCTAGAAATCGATAAAAAACTCAACCAAATAAAAGAAGAATTCTCTAGCATTGTCACACCAGAAACTCCACAAACTTCTAGACATATAAATTTTATTGGCAAAACTAATTCATCAGAATCATCGGAAACTGATGATCAAAATACATCCTCGAGTGATAATTCTATTCAAATCAACAACATGAATTGGTAAAAACCCAAAAAATTTATTATCCAAGAGCTTCAGCCCCAGATTTAATGTAAACCCCGCGTTATTATTCTAATGCCCTAAGGTATGAAATTTACCTTTTTAAGTAATTTTCTTTTTTTTTTTGAATGAAAGGGTAAAATGGTCAATTTACATGTATTTCGAGATGTGACCATTATAAAGTGTAAGGGGTGATGTCATTGAAGAGAAATGAGGGTAGAATGGTCATAAAGTTGATTGATATGGTTAAATGGCGTAAACAATAACCAAGGGTATAATGGTTTTTTCATACAAATCCATATGATTTAAGCATCCATAAA